CCCTCCCTCCCTCCTCCACCTCCTTCACCGACTACACCCAACGCATAACACATAACCTCCGCTTCCCTCGAGCCTCTTCTCCTTCGAACCAATGAACGAACATCGATCATGGCTCAGTGTATGTATTCCGCTCTTTACTCGTACTCAGGCTCGGTCTTGCTTGACGACGACGCTTTTTGACGCCTTATCGTTTTCTCATCTTTTTTGTGTAGCACTGTACTCGTTGGTTTTCTTCCTTCTGTTTCTGAGTATATTGTTTAGTGTGCATATGGATTGATTGTTGATGAAATGATGTTTGAAGTCGGTTCGAGTAAGCTGCAAGCACTGAGCTGCTGGACAGATATGTACTCGGTATGACGTAAAGTCCTTGAATATCCACGTGTCGGCGATCGCTGCTGCTTGGCCCAGCCTGGCTCTCACAGTACGGCTTAACCACGAACGGAGTACTGGCAGGCCAAATGGACACCAAGGGACCTCACACCGGCCATAAAAGTGGGGACATGCGTGTCCTCTGTATAGGTATCGGGTCGAACTTTCGGTGAACTGTTCAAGAACTTCGCGTCATGCCGAGTATGTGCGGTTATAGAAGAGCCATCAATGCTCTGGGTACCGGCACTGTAGGGGCTTCTGCCAGGCAAAAATCGGACGAGCTGGAGAAGCCGCTCTGGAGTACACATATGCGGGTTGAGGTGTCCAACATTTCAAGGCCTGGAAGGAGGGGTCCGTCGTTATCGGGCGCAGGATTGCTCAGATGCGTCCGTAAGCCGGGCGCACGAACCGCATCATGTTTCCAGATAGTACAAGTGCGTGATACTGCTGTCAAGGCCCAGACGTTGAACTCGTAGCTGGTATGCATGCATCCCTTCCTTGTCTAGAAGTCCGAAACATTGGATAAGAATCTCCGGAGGAAGGGCAGCTTGCGCCTTGTATGGGCAGTACGCATCATCTGATTGAGAAGTCCGATCTCTACGACCCATGGGTTTAACGCCGCCGGTGAAAGTACAGCACCGGGAAATGAGCTCGTGGTGGCGCCGTGTCTGCGTTCAAGAGCATCAAGCCAAAAGTCCATATCTGTTCGGCATTCATCAATGCTCAACACATTGAACTGCCAAACTGCGGCATAGCACTTTTTGGGTTGTATTTGGGAGTGAAAGGCTGGGGTATGAGGCTGTGCCAGCACTCGAGCGACGGTTTACGGCGACTTCGAGCTTCATCGACATCGGTGTTCGCTGAGAACGGCAGTGAGAAAGCATCAATGGGTTGCCTCGGGTCGGGTGAACTCGCGGCTTGCTTCTGACCTTCGAATTCTCGTGACTTGCGCGCCGGGCACGTCGCGTATAAGCGGCAGGACCTTGCTTGTGCTCTGTATCCTCCGCGCCCCATGCCTGAACCTCTTGCATCCCAACACAGTACCGCCATCACATCCTACAGCGAATGGGGGGATCTCAATTCGATCAAAGACGCCGACACCTCCTACGAGACGACACTTACCGGCACAACCCAGAGCAGTGAAACCACAGCGCCTACCGCCTCCGGCAGTAACAATGGCCCAAGCTCATCTACGTCTAAACGCAAGGAGCGTGACATCACGCCGCCACTCGAGCAGCCGACCCGGCCGCGCACGAGTTCTGACTCGCCTGTGAAGACTGCCGCGGCGACAGAAGCATCCGCGCGACCCCGCGGGGCCTGGGCTTCACCAACAGACAACATCAATACTAGGGTACGCGCTATATTTAACGCAACTGAACTCATGCTGACCGCACGATAGAAAGACTTAACGCGCCGAAAGCTGATCACCGTGCGACGCCTGGGATTCGGCATCCAGTACACGCTAGCACAAGTCTATCTTTCCGAGGACAAGGTCACGACTTTGCTCATATTAGAGAGGCTACCTCTCTTGCAAGAGACACATGAAGCTATAGATCCGCACGTTCGCGATCTTGTAATCAACGGAGAAGCGGATACGCTTCGACTACGGGGACGAGAGAAGGAACTCTCCGCGTTCGTGATCTTTCTGCCTCAATGGTATGTGGACTAGTAGCAGCTGCACAATATCCGCTCATTGCTCTCTAGACGGACGGTTGCGGTTTGATCACCCTGGGAGGAACCAAGGCGCTGTACAACCTTGGCTTTTGGAACAAGATGCCGACCGCTATCCAGATTCGTATCCTCGGCGCAAAGGTACGCTTGATTAGGATCGTTCACTTCAAATCTGACCTTTTGTCTTTCAGGGCCTCCTGATCCTAGATCTCCATCGTCGAGACAGCGACGAGCCCATCGTTCGCCTGCGCCCATCCCAGATCAAGATCAAGTTTCCCGTCGACTTTCCCATAGAAGAACCCGCGCATCTCACCATCGACGTTTTGCCAGCCTCTCATATGGAGTGCGGGGTGAAGTTATCTCGTGAGCAGGTGAGTTGCACGCACGTATCAGACCTTGTGCGTGCTGACTTTCGTACACAGCTCACCAACCTCGCGGAGAACAAAGCGCCGCCGGAAGTGATCATGAATATAATGACGAACCAGCTCAAGAAGGCAATAGACGACCTTCTTGCGTGGCATAGCGTTCTCTGGACCGGCGAGCCAAGTGACGCAATGGACAGAGCGATGCGCTTACTATGGGTCGCGGTTGAACGCTCCGGGGGTGTCCTAGCCGCCCGTGACGCTCGTGAGAACCCCGGAACCGCCCGCGTTCGGGGACTCCGCGCCTATGACCGCGAGGAAGAAGAGAGCGACGACGAGGATGATGATGAAGGTGATCTCGTCACTCGGCAGCAGCGCTCTACCGCATGGTGAGATATCTGCTCACGCCGTCACTTCGGCGCGCGTAATTGATTGAACGCTGCAGGTTCCCCGATGAAGTCTCCGGCTGTCCATCGTCCCTCGAAGAGACGGTCATGACCTTCATCGACAGAGGATTCCAACCTCGCGCCAACCCCATCATGGCGCAGAAGTTGCACGAAGTCGTGCAGAAGACCATCAGATCTTTCAGCATCAAATTTCGCCTGTCAGTTCCCATGAGCTGTTCGGCGTTCTGTGTTCCTGGTGCGTTGGTTTTGCGCTCGATGGCCGGCTGGTACTGAAACTGGCTTGAAGATCCCTTGGGCGTATGAGAGGAAGGCGAGATGCACGTCAAGTGCTTGATGCTGTATCTAGTGTTGCCTGATGGACGGAGGACTGACAAGATACCATGCGACGTTCTGGTACGTGTGAACTCCAACTCTCATCTGCGCACTCTTCTACTGAAGTTCGGCATATATACAGATCAGCCGGAGTCCCAGCAAGCTACCTACAGGTATCCAGAAGGTGGGTGCTTGTTGTGTTGCTCATCCCCCCATGACATTAGCTAATACATCAGTAGGTCAAGGTAGTATATTGTGCCGAGCTGGACGAATATTCCGACGTCATCGCATTCTCGATCAAGGGAAAGCGCTCTCAAGCCAGTTTTCTCAGTGGCGGTGGGTCCATTGATCAGAATCATGCAAGAAAGTATCCAACGACATTCCTAGGTGACTACGACGGCGACAAGGTCGATGTGATATGGGACCCGTCCATCGGACAACCCTTCTGTAACGCGCCCCGTGGAGCTTGCGGACGCCCCACCCGACTTCAAGAGAAGAACTTTTGCGTGAGAACGACAAGGTCTCGGAGTTCCTCAAGCGTGTTGGCTCTGACCCGCAGGCCATCGTACGCGGTCTGCAAGATGCTCAGATGAAGTCGATATCCGAGGCGCCCATCGGTATCTACTCCAGGTAAGTTCCGGTGGGCTATACCCAAAACAGATTTTGATTGATGGGTGTCTCAAGTGCTCATGACAACGCGGGATTTATCTTAGGCTATGCTCACTCGGAAACTCTACGCCTTGGTCGCATGTACGTTCTTGTTCGACACCTCTGAGTTGCCTCTAATTCTTTCCAGGTTCTGTAACGTCCTTGACGGCACAAAGAGCGGCTTGACTGTTCGTCCGGATGTGCTCCGTGACGACATGAAGCGATACAAGGCATCTCAGCACGCAGCTCGGAAGATACGCCTCAATGACCTTCGGAATACTCACAGAACATCCGATAACAATCCCTACCTGAAACGAGACGTGGAAAAGCTTGGCGCTTTCGTCTCGACGCGCCTTGATGATATCATCCACGTGCGTTGTTCTGCTGTGTTCTCCCTGGTTGGAAGACGTCCTGATATCGTACTGGAAAGAGTCAAATCTTCAGTTGACACGGGCGCAAGGTTGCTTCACAGGTCTTGACAAAGTCACGAAACCCGATGCGGACCTGACCAAGGCTTAACATGGCGTTGGATGGCTTTGCGAACACAGGAACGGAATTCCCATCACTCTCAGCTATGTGCGCCTACTGCCTCCAAACGCCAACTTCGCTGAGCCACCCGGTCAACCTCTCGACGGTCCCAAGATCAGCACGTCTCTGGGCTCCGCAGCAAACACCGATGCCAGCAGCCCCTCTAATGATTATGATACCTTGATACCTCAACAGTTTGTACCAGACTCTACCTATGTTCATCTGGAACCGCCGCAAGCGCGCATACATCTCATACATCGTGCTGTAACAGTAGCAATGCCCTGACACAATTCATTCGTTCATTTCAAGTGATTTATCCACATTTTAGACTACATTAGCCCGCTCAGTAATCAAAACGACTCTAGACGGGTTCGAATGTGGCTGGCGACAGTGGACGGGTTATGGGCAGACTGATGGGTGGAGGTGACTCTCGATCGTACACAAATGACCGACATACTCTTCCACAAGTGGCATCGCGACATTCATCGTGTTGTTTTGCCGAAAGCATTGTGTACGCGTACAGAGGCA